AAAAAAAAAAATGAGCAACACTGCATAACCTTCTGAGCTATCCTCTCTTCCTTGAATTTTAAGTGGCCCTGTACATCTTTGTACTGTTTACATTCATCCACCGATCAGACAGACATGTTTAAACACCTCCCCCCACCCTAGAATAAGCCCATGCATACATAAACTGGAACCTCGGTGGCAATGCTTGACTTACCTTAGTGTCCATCTAGATAACTGTACACATATTCTTTTGTTGTTATCACAGTTGTTGCAAAATTGTTTTGTTGGCCATTTTTTAAGTTTTAAATTAACTGTTCATCGTATTTTCCCCCTTGTTTTGGTGGACGTTTATGTTTTCTTCATAGTGTGTAAGAGCTCCTTATCTATTACTATCTACAGCCTATTTCATGACCAAAAAAATGAGAGTTATATGGACACCTTGATCCGGCGTCTGCAGCTATATTCTCGAAACCTGGAACATCTGGTAGAGGAAAGGACACAGCTCTACAAGGCCGAGAGGGACAGAGCCGACAGACTGAACTTTATGTTGCTTCCAAGGTAAGACAAGTCATCCTGTAGATGTGGTCTCCCAGGATTCCACAGCCATTATGCCTCATAGCCGCAGCTGAAAGCTTTACACATCTGTTTAGCCTTATTTTTATTCATATCTCTGTAGGGCTGCAGGCTTAAGACCTCTTTTCAAACGGTCATAGCAGAAGGAGCAAGGAGTTTAGAGTTTGACCCATCTGGGTCTGAACACGCCTCTATCACTTTGACTGAACTATCCCCTTAGGCACAGAGCACTGGTGGTACAGTGGTTCTAACCCACCCAGCACCCCTTAGGAAAAAGACCTGACAGATCTGCTCCCATAAAAATCAGAGCCTACAGAATGATGTAGGGGAGTTCTGCTCTATCATCTGATAGGTCTACTTTGTCACATGGGGTTTTGAGTCAAAATTCTCTGAGTGGTACCTAACAATAGCATGACCTTAGGCAAGTCACTGTCTGTCTCTACAATCTGAACCTGAAAATGAAGTATTCCTTAGGAAAGTTGGAGATATAACACAGTCACTAAGTTAATTTCCATGCTTTAGTCCTTTACTTCAAGTAGAAAAGGAGCTTTAACAAGTAGAAGTCTTTAGTGGAGGCAACGGGGAACACACATTTAAGATGTCTCATTGTGGGGGCATCTTGACCCGACCTCTATTTTGTGAAGCAATTCTACAGTGTGCCAAATAAGAAAGGTGGTAAAGTTTACAGCCTTGCTTTAACATTTTGTAAGTGTTGATACTCAAGTAATAACAGAAATGTTAAGATATGCAAAGAATGAAAACATGAAGCATGAGGAATTAGGGTCAGGCCAAGGAGCCCACCGCTGTACACATAGAAGTCATGCTCGCTCTTTTCATTAAACTACAAGAAACTATGTTATTGGATGTAAGTCCATCACTGGGTTAAATCCTGTAATCCGAGGGCAGTGAATCCTGACTTAAAATCATGGTACCACCACTGATTTGTCCAATTTTTGGCCAAGATACAGAACAACAGAACCATATGGGGTAAGAAAATGCAGAATGTGAGGTGGAATCATGATATCTATTCGGTCTCCAAAATACTCTGTGTTATTACACTGGGCTGCCAAGAACCACCACCCAGAATGCCCCTGTGAGCTCATGGCTCTATACCAGTGACTGTTTGTAAAAGGTCACACATTTGACTACTGCACCAAATGGCTCACATCCATGCTCTGGAGGGCGTCTTGTGGTTTTCACTTCTTGTGGTTAACTAACGTTTGTCTTCCAGGAAAGTGCCAGAGATCTGTCTTTCCCTACAGGCAGCGCACCTCCAAGTCTTCCCCATCCCCTTGAATGCCCCAGGTCTGGGTCTGGTGGCACTGTGGTGCAATGAAAGACAGGAGGTGGCTATTGCTAGTATGGCTCGTTCGTTTGTGACTATGGGACCTCGTGAAAGTCACTTACTCTTTAAAAACACTCACTGCCATCGAGTGGATTCCATCTCATTGTGACCCTACAGGACAGATTAGAACTGCCCCTGTGGGTTTCCAAGACTATTTTTTTTTCTTTTACTCATTTTATTGGGGGGGTTATACAATTCTTATCACAATCCATCCATCCATCCATTGTGTCAAGTACATTTGTACATTTGTGGCTATCATCATTTTCAAAACATTTTCTTTCTACTTGAGCCCTTTGTAATCAGCTTCTCATTTTTCCCCTCACTCCCCAACCCTCACTCCCTCATGAACCCTTGATGATTTATAAATTATTTTGTCATGTCTTACACTGACCAATATCTCCCTTCACCCACTTTTCTGTTGTCCATCCCCCTGGGAAGGGGTTATATGTAGATCATTGGGATCACTTTCCCCTTTCTCCCCCCCACCTTCCCCTTCCCCTCCTGGTATGGCTACTCTGAATATTGTACCTGAGGGATTTATCTGTCCTGAATTTCCTGTGTTTCCAGCTCTTATCTGTACCTGTGTACATGCTCTGGCCTAGCCAGATGTGTAAGGTAGAATTGGGGTCACAATAGTGGCAGTGGCGGGGAGCATTAAAGAACTAGAGAAAAGTTTTATGTTTCAACGGTGCTATACTGCACCCTGACTAGCTTGTCTCCTCCCTGTCACCATTTTGTAAGGAGATGTTCAATTGTCTACAGATGGACTTTGGGTCTCCATTCCGCACTCCCTCTCATTCACAATGATATGATTTTTTTTGTTCTGGGTCTTCTGATGCCTAATACCTGATCCTATCAATACTTCATGATCACACAGGCTGGTGTGCTTCTTCCATGTGGGCTCTGTTGCTTCTCAGCTAGATGCCCACTTGTTTATCTTCAAGCCTTTAAGACCCCAGATGCTGTATCTTGTGATAACCAGACACCATCAGCTTTCTTCACCACATTTGCTTATGCACCCATTTTGTCTTCAACAATCGTGTCAGAAAGGTGAGCAGCATGAAATGCCAAGTTATGAGAACAAAATATTCTTGCATTGAGGGAGTACTTGAGTAGAGGCCCAATGTAAATCTGCTACCTTAATACAAAACCTATAAATATATGTACATAGATCTATTTCCCTATTGTCATATATAAATATATTTATATATGGATATGTATTAAGACCTCTGTAAATGGCCTTTGCCTCCTAGTTCTTTCCTCTATTTCCTTTTACTTTCCTATTGTCCCACTATCATGTTCAGTCTTCATTTGGGTTTCAGTAATTCCTCTCGGTTACATTGACCTTGATCAACCCCTACCAGGCCTCCTACACCCTCTTCACCATGGATTTTAGATCACTTGTTCCCATGTCCCTAGGTTTGTTAACACCCACTTCCTTTCCCTCGCCTCCCCCTCTCCCACATTCCCCTGGAAACATTGGCCCCACTGTTTTCTCCTCTGGATTGTTCATCCCACCTATCTTATCTAGATAGACCTGCAGAGATAATAATATGCACAAAAAACAAGACAGAGCAAAACAAAGCAACAAAAGAAAACAAAGCAACATCATCAACAACAAAATGACATATAAAAGAAAAGTCTGTAAATAGCTCAAGGTCTGTTTGTTGACCTTTAGGAGTGATTTCGGGTCAAGTCTGATGGGGTGCCATGATCTGGCCCCACGGTCTATTTTTGGTATTCCTTGGGGACTTCATTGCTCTGCTCCCCTTGCTGTTCTGTTGCACACCCTTAGTGTTTCACCTTGGTGTGGTGGGGTCAGATTGGGCACAATTCCCATACTGTGTCTCCAGTGTTGTCCCCCTTGACACTATGGGTCAGTGAGGGACATCATGTCTCGTGGTGGGGTTGCTCCTATGGTCCTCTCTGTGCCTTGGCTGCTCTGAGCAGGGATGCCATTCTCAAGACTTGATGGGCCAGGATGTGCTCCACTCTCTCACTCTCTCTCCTTTCATTTGCTCCTGTGTGCTCTGATCAGATGTGTCCCTTTCTCTGAGCTGTTGCTTCAGTGCTGTTTTCTGAAATTAATTCTTATAGGGAGAGGGGGACCCAGACAAAATTTTTACAGGAACACAAAGTCTCATCTTTCTCCAGTGGAGTAGTTGGTTGGATTTAAACTGCTGACCTTGTGGTTAGCAGTCCAATTCATGCAACCTAGTATGTCAATAGGGCTGCCTTTAGGACTCAGCCGTCTCCTCTGTAAAAATGAGAGATTTCTATGAAACCTTTGAGTTATCGGGCCCTGATTCCAATAGTTTTACCTTCAGACAAGGGCAGGTGGGCACAACCAGCCTCATCATGTCAGCTCTCATCCACTTTTCTCAATGAACTGGAAACTTGGCACATAACTGGAATACACGGCCCCTGTTGGATTTCTCGCTTACTTCTGGGTCTGATAAGTGAATTGTGTATCATTTCAATTCATAATATATAGTGTAAAATATATATACATACTCACATAATTCAAACATAATGCATAATCCTTATGCACATATAAGAAGCCCTGGTGCTATAGTGGTTAAAGCTCTTTTCTGCTAACTAAAAGGTCAGAAGTTCAACCCACCAACCCTCAGTAGGAGAAATAAGAGGCATCTGCTTCCATAAAGATTTACAGGCTTAGAAACCCTATAGGGAAGTTCTACTTTATTCTATGGTGTCACTAGGAGTCAGAATAGATTAAGTGGCAGATAGATTTGGTTTTAGAATATATATGTATATATGTACACACACTTGCATACGTTTTACCAGTTTTAGCTTGTTTCTTTCTTTTTTAAATTTAATTTATTTAGCTTTAAATTTAATTTATTTTAATTATTAGCTTGTTTCTTTTCTATAGTGATTGATTTCCCTTTTAAAGGAACCAATGCTGGTTTAGAATATATCAAAATTAACGTTTAAATGCATTGTGCCTTCACAATTAGGGAAAACATTGACTCTGATAAGAAAGCCATGTGAAACCATAATGACCCACCCTCCTCAGATCTCAAATGTAGGTATATCTGTATCTAAGATGTATACCGAGAATCTAATTCTCAGCAGAGTAGTCAAAAGTGAGCAAGTATGCATATGCATTAGGGTTATATATACATTATTGTTACATGTATTTGTGTAGTTAGATTAGTTATCAAATTCTAAGTTAATGCTGAAATTCTAATACCCCTCTATGTTAAAATACATGCATTATATGTCTGAGTGTGTAATGTGCTCTTGTAAATGTTATATGCAAACCTACCTTTGCTTCCTAGCCACCCAATTCACTGGAGATCCCAAATTCTCTAACTCCTGGTGGACAAGTACTGTTGTCGATTTATGCAAGGGAAACTATTGCAGAAGTTGAAGGTGCTCTTTTCCTTCCTCCCACAGGCCAGTAGTGAAGTCGCTAAAGGAGAAAGGCATTGTGGAGCCCGAGCTGTATGAGGAAGTCACGATCTATTTCAGTGACATTGTAGGATTTACTACAATCTGCAAATACAGCACCCCCATGGAAGTGGTGGACATGCTCAATGACATCTATAAGAGCTTTGACCACATCCTTGATCATCACGATGTCTACAAGGTAAACGCTTCCCCTCTCAGAGTCGTACAGCTCAAGATCATCCTAGCTGGACTTGACTCTTCCTATTATTCCTCAAGCTTACTCTCTCTAATTTAAGATTTAAAGAATTGGTGGTGGAATCCAAGCTAAAAATAAAAAGAAGTGGAAAACTAAGAGGGCTCAGAAGTCAAATGAGGTAACTTTGAAAAAGCAGTAGGCCAGAGACAACACGAAGATCAGACATATTCTCAAATCCATCTCTAAAAAACTAACCATGCTTAATCCGATTAAAAATAAAGCAGAGAACTAGAGTCCTGGTGGCATAGTGGTTTGTGCATTGGGCTGCTAATCACAAGGTCATCAGTTCAAAACTACCACCCATTCTGGATGGGAGAAAAGGGAGATTTTCTGCCCTTGTAAAGAGTTACAGCCTCAGAAACCCACAGGGGCAGTTCTACTCTGTTCTATTGGGTGGCTGTAAGCCAGAATCAACTCCAGGGCAATGAGTTTTTTTCTAGTAAGGGGTGGGGGGGAGTGAAACAGGGAAGACACTAGACTTAGAATAAGTAGAACAAGAACCAGTTCATCTATTATTGTTTTTGTTGATGTCAGAAAATTAAACAACAGCATTCAAGGGAGTGATGCAGAACAGGGAGAGTATTCTATAATATTCAGAAAGAGATCTATTATGTGAATTTGGTGGTAACCAGTTATGAGTTTATGATGTATGATTCAGAAAAGTAAAGGAGAATTGAGTTCTTGGATTTACATATTGGAAAACAGCAGTATTTATGTAAAAGGTAACTTCACAATTAGAGATCTGCATCCAATTCCCAATTTTGTATGATCTCACAAAATACATTTAACCTCACCAAGTCTAAGTTTACTGATTTGTAAAATAGGATGATGATACAGCTTAATTAAATGACTATTGCAAAGATTATTGAAATAAATTATATGCCCCAAATATTATAATTCTTTTTAAAATGTAAGTGTTGCTCATATAATTGCTCATGTAATAGCATTAATAAGAGCCCTCAGAGAAGACTTCCCTTTCAGGATCTTTCTTAGGCCAATGCTCCTCCTTAGTATTAATATTAATATATAGGCCATATTAATTACAGTTCCTGTTAAACAGAAAATTATTATACATTTTAGAGAAAGCTGGCAAAAAGAAATTAACCAACAGATATAAAACTGTACATATGATTATGTAAATAAAAATGCACCCATTTCTCATTTGGTGACATGGTTGGGATCCTGGTCTGTTTGTAAAATCTGTGTTCTGCAAGAGTTGCAACTGTAGCCCCCTCTTCAGCACCAGTCTCTCAGATTATTACCACCCATCAGGCACCTCGGGCATATCCTGGGATGACTCGGCCCCCTTTTCCCACCATGCCTTCCTCACCCAGTGAAGTCTATGGGGATTGGTGATGAGGTGGTGGTTGGATGCTGCCTGTCACCTACTGCCCACCCTGAGTAGAGTCCTTAGGTGTCCTCTATCCCAGCCCCTCAGTCCCACACAGTCCCCTTCTCTTTATATCTCCTTCCAACTTCCTCCACAAACCCCCCTGCCACCTCTAGCCCACACCTGGACTTTCCCTGCCTGCTCATGATGTCATCTACTACCACCCCACACACTCTGACATCACCGACTACTGGGAGAAGGCAGCCCACAGCAGTCAAATGCCAGGCCTACTCATCATTGTGACCTCTGGCTTATCACTCGGAGTCACCTGTTCAGGGCTCCCCAGGACCCACCTGAGTCCCAAGGTGGGACCTGAGCCATCAGAGACACAAGCTGAGAATTTTCTTTTTCAATGATAAGAGATAATTAAGATAGTCAATATGTGAGGAAGGGTATGATGTGAAAAATGATGAATGCTAACAATGACTCCTCCGAAACTTAAAGCTGTTCTTAGGAATTTAATAAAGCAATGAAAAATCCATTAGAAAATGTCAAAAATAATTGCATAAGTTGCATAAAACTGCTTAGAATGTTTAAGCATTAACATAATTGCCACTGTATCCGGACAATTTATATTGATACACTTAAGTGGTTAAAGCTTCTTATAACTGTTATATTACCTGTTTATCTAGACTGAAAATTGTTACCTAATCAACATAGAACTCCTCTTGAATTGGCCACAGAAAAGGTGTGTAGGGCCATGCTCACATGGAGTTTCCCATAAACTTTAGTGTTTGATATGTAATTAACTGCTTCTATTTAATTTGCATGCCTTTAAGAGGGGTGGATCCACTGATGAGAAACTATTCCCATAGGTGGAGACCATTGGTGATGCCTATATGGTAGCCAGTGGTTTGCCAAAGAGAAATGGCAACCGACATGCGATAGACATTGCCAAGATGGCCTTGGATATCCTCAGCTTCATGGGGACCTTCCAGCTGGAGCATCTTCCTGGCCTTCCGATATGGATCCGCATTGGCGTGCACTCTGGTATGGAACTGAGCATCTTAGTGAGTGGCAACCATATGTACCTCTGAATACCAACCAGATTAGTAAGGATAATGGGTCTTCAAATATCATCAGTCTTCACATGAGGTTTACTTTTGAAATCTGAAACACATAGGATCCTAATATATATCTTAACAGATTTCACTTCCATCCATAGAGAGTTCTAGGAAGTAGCAAAGTAGCGTGTAAGAGTCTCTTAGTTGTTCACCTTTGACTCCTGGAATGAGCAACACCACCAGTTTCTAAAACCGGAAGCTTTGGACTTCCTATGTAGTCACCATTTTGAATATTTCATTTGTTGCCTCTCCATTTGCATGACCTCTCTCCATCCCTTCTCATATCTTTTCCCAGTAATTGTTAGAGTTGCTTTCATGAATTTGCTTAGCTGCCAAAAGGAAAACAAGCTACAGCTGGTCAAACGACTATAATTAGAGGGTGTTTATGCTCTCCATCCTTTTCCTCTTCTGCTCGCCTTCCAATGACACAGAATATACTCAAGTCCCTTCAAAGACCATGAAAGCTGTCTACGCTTGAGAGCTTGTTTGGGGGTTCTAGCAGGGGAGCACAGGTCCTCCTTCTATCCGGGAAGGTGGTCCTCTTCAACTGAGTGTGCAGCTTTGGGAGTGGTGTGGGAGGAAGGGGTCACCCACCTAGCCAGCCAGATCAGCTGAATAAACCATCATGATCAATGGGGTCACATGTCAAAGCCAGATCACCCTCACATCCAGTTGTTCACTCTTGAGTTGAGAGGTTTGAGGAGATGATTTACGCATATCATGGAATAAATATAGTTATCAAGGAACACTAGACTGATTCTCTATAAGGTAAAAATTGTTGATATATTTTCCAAGATACTTAGCTTGGTAGTTAACTGCTATCCAGTTGACTCTGACTCACAATGATCCTGTAAGACCGAGTAACACTGCCTCTGTGGGTTTCCAAGTCTGTAACTCGTTCAGAGAGTAGAAAGCCTCATCTTTCTCCCGTGGAGCAGCTGTGGGTTTCAAACTTCTGATCTTGAAGTAATCCCAGCACATAACCCACTATGCCACCACGGGGCCTATTTTCCAAGACAAGTCATCATATAGCCATTTTTAGAATAATCCTAGGACTTCCTCCAAAATTCATTATTTCCCAAGAAAACGTCATTGGATAGTTGACATTGTTAGGCAGTTTTTCCTTGAGTTCAGTTAAATCACATTTCTAGACCCCTGGTTGCCATTGATCCTTCTCCTGCCCTCTAAGCTTCACAGTGGAGCCTTGGTTAAGCACTCTGGTATTAACTTCTGTGTGGGAGAAAGGGATGGTAGTCTGTTTCTAAAAAGATTACAGATTTAGAAACCCCATGGGGAAGTTCTACTTTGTCTGTTAGTATCATTCACTATGAGTCGGAATCGAGTCCGTGGCAACAGTTTGGTTTTTTTTGGTTTTTTTGGTTCAGCCTCGTGAAGATGATAGATTAGAGGACAGAAAGAGACCCATGGACAGAGGACTTTCTACCTCTGTGACCTAGATAGCTGGTCAACATGTCTTACCGTTCGGTGTAAAGATTCTGTTTGTGCTACGCATCATGCTCTCTGCAGCGTGCGTTGAATAATGAAGCTGCCAGCTTTGGGAAACTCCACTTAAAGCAAGCATCGCAGTGCCTCTTCCCCCATCCTCAGCACTCCTCTGTGGCAGTTCAGCACGGCGGCACTGAGAAGAGACGTGCCCCCCTCCGTGACCTCCACGCAGCAGGTTCAGTTGCCTCTGTTTCCTGAGTTCTGCCCTCTGTTTCAGGCCCCTGTGCAGCCGGAGTGGTGGGGATCAAGATGCCTCGTTACTGCCTCTTTGGAGACACCGTCAACACAGCCTCCAGGATGGAGTCCACAGGCCTTCGTAAGAATGGGGTTGTGTTTCTTAGAGGACAAAGACCTATCTTCCAGTAGGGGGGAATGTTAAGACAAAATGTATAATCAGAAGGTACAAAGAGCAGTGAAATGGAGGAGTCTTCCTGCTGGCAAAAAGGGAAATCGTGTGTCATTTCAGCACTTGGCTACATTTGCTTTTGTTGGTAACATTTATGGATTTTATTCATCCCGTGTAGCTCTCTTTTGAACTGTTACCATTATTCGTGGCTCATTTGCAGTGTATTCACGTGGGTCTTTCCAGAAAGAGTCATGAAATTTAGCACAAATGCATGCAAGTTTTTGAAAAATCAGTGGGGTAGATATGTATTATACACCCTGATCCAACGTCCTATTTACCTTTTATTTGGTTTTCCTAGGAATGGTTTAGCAAAAAAAAAAAAAAAGAAGTCTAGCTATTAGTTATATGCCAAGCCTGGCAAGGCAGGGGAAGCACGTGTTGCATAGAGTAAATGATCAATAACTATCATGACAACAAACATCATTGAAGAGAGGAAACCATTGGTAGATGTGGTTGGGGACTTATGAAAACACAAGAAGGAGCATGATACTTTGGCAACCAATGAGTTCATCGTTAGTCAAAGTCTACTTGCACTGGCTCCAATGACAGCAACTGATCATCTGGTCCTGGCTTGTGTAGGAAAAAAACTCATGATGGAAAGGAAAGAGCAAGTTTGGAGTCAGATAGACTTCGATCAAATCCTAACCAGAAAAACACTGGCTGTGTAAATTGGGGGAGAGATTATTAGATACTTCTAGGTAGAAGAAAGATGAACATATAAATTGAGGATGGAATAACAACCTTCCTGGGAGAGATTCTGGGCAGACTTGATGGGAGATAGGGAAGCCCTTAGCAATCCTCTGATGGCCATAGAAGGTGACTTTGTCGTCACTCTTACTACTGTTATTGTTTGTGCCACGGCTACTGGTACCCATAACAAGACAAGTGCTCTCCAGCAACACCTGGGAATTGGAATGCACTCATCACTTGCTTGTCAGAAGGGTAAGAGAATCCCTGAGAGTACGATTTGAGAAAATCCGGACTCTACAACTCTCTGCTGAATGCTTACTTTTAACTCAACACTCAGTTACTTACAAGGAACCTGCAAAGAGTTTGTGGGAAAGTTCCATCTTTTCATTCAAAATGTCCATGAACATTTGAAAACCCCTGTAGCATCAGAACTTTTACATGGAACTCAAAAAACATTATAAACTCCCAAGCTCACCATCCAAAACCAGGTCCCTGGGGCTACTCTTCTGAGCGAGAATGAGAATCTATAGAGCGCAGCCATTCTGTACCTGTGTCAGACCCTCTTTCTTTCTTTTCATATGTGGTAATATGTCTTATCTGACCGATTCGTTTTTTAAGTGTTCTTCCACTAAAGTCGAGAGAAAGACGAAGCTGTCTTTTTTTTTTTAATGATCATTTTATTAGGGGCTCATACAACTCATCACAATCTGTACATATGTCATCTGTGTCCAGCACTTTAGTACATATGTTGACTTCATCATTCTTACGACATCCACTTTCCACTTGAGCCCCTGGTGTCAGCTCATTTTCCCCTTCCCTCCCCCCTCCCCCTGATAATTTATAATTTATTAC